CTATATAAATACAACTTTACTTACTTACTTACTTACACTCAGATGTTTTACTTTTTGTGATGAAATGTGCTGCAGAAGTCAGAGTTAGAAACTTTAATTCTACTGAAACGTTTCTTTCAGGACTTTTGTATTTGAATACTTTTTGGTGCTGAAATAGAAASTGTATTTAAAGAAAGTCATCAGAAGCAAAACTAATCACATGATATGAAACACTGWTTTCTTTTATTTTTGTTTTTCAGTRAACCAACAATAATCATGTAAAATGTAAAGATGATACTGTTATAATTATGGTAAGGCAGCTTGAGTGTAATTTTCATTTTGTCACTTAAGATAKAAAAGGCCATTTTTGTCATTTTTGTTCCTTAAGTGTGTATGTCTTCAGAGAACTCAGCCATATATTGTTATTAGAGTACTTTGTATGCATTTTTTGTTGTATTTATTCCTTCAAAAACATTTTGATGATCCAACAGGATTATGCCTGTGCAGTCTTATCACCTAAATACCATGGTAATACCAGATCAAACAAACACCTACTTCCTGGAGAGCTGTATCCTGTAAAAGTCCTGACAGAAAGCYCATTCATCTACCAGGCTTTTTCTGAGAACTGCAGCTGATAACATGGAAACAACCTCGAATATATATTTTTTTATGACAAAATGCCAGCAAAGAGCAGGTTTTATTCTGGTTTCAATGTTTTTACAAAAATCCAGTGTAAATACAACCTTAGATTTAACARACATGAAAGGTGTGAAGTGACTGACCTTACACTGAGGCTCCAGCAGGTTGATCAGGGTGGTTTTCTCTCGGACCGTCAGGAGATCACTCATGACACAGCCGAAAGAACTGGGCACTCGATCTTCTACTCCCTTCAGCTTTCTCAAGTCAAGTCGTGCCTCTCTGTTAAACTTGTCCATCGACTCCTCTCTGATCCTCACAGGTGCTTTGAATGCCAGTGTTTTCAATGCAACAYGCTCTCATGCAAATTACTGGACACCATCCCAGCCGTGTAGCTTTTCAGTAAGCAAATGAGTTACGGACACTTCCAACAGACCAACAGAAATCAAAAGTCACAGAAAAAACTTGCCCGTGCTTTTGTTACTTCTTGGCTGAGGCCTCAGAGGTCACTTTGACCCAAGGTTGACAGCTGTAAGTCCTTGTCAGGGTGTCCCAATCATTCTTTTGAATTCTGATTTAAAATGAACTGAGTGACCACAATTAACAAGAGCAACCCACTTTATTGGGTTTTCTTTATTTTCTCCTTTTTAAATTCAGAGTTGAATCAAAGATCCTTCCCCTCACTTAAACTACTAAAACCAAAAAGTCCTTTAGAACCCAAACAGAACATTTGGCTCTCAGAATGCATGCCCGTCGCTCCCAGAGTGTCTAAAAACAGAACAGGAAGTAGAGCCTTCAGGATCYAGGCTCTTATTTTAATGTTTGAGCTCTTTATAACTCAGTCTCTGTTGTGTAAGACCTCTTTCTCTGTATGTCAAAATTAAAAGTGTACAATAAATACAAAGTATTTAATCAAGTCAAGTCATAGCATGCACTCATAATGTTATATTATTTTGTGATTTCAATGATTTGTTGGAACGGTTCTTTTTCAGGAAGCAATGATTGTACAGCACACAGCTGCAATGATTTTAAAACCACGAGTTTGAATTTAATGGGGATTTTCTCTCATCCACACTGGGTTAAAATGGTACATACAGGCTCAAATATTTACTTATGTTCACYTAAATCTTTTAATGAGTTGTGACTTCCCATTAGTGACCACCTAGTAAATAAAGTAAATAAATAATTTACCGTAAATATCTTAGTGACACATAGGTGAGTGTTTTGAGTAAAATTTGACACAAATAATGGATTAAAAAATTTATTTGAATTGTTAAGTGTTAAAATATAAATGTCATTTTTTATTATTATTGAGTGCATTGACACAAAGAGGAAACAGATTACGCGGTATGTGGACGGACAAAGATTTTCTCTACTTGGACACTACTTYTGTGCTGAAATTATTTTCCCATTTTCTTCAGAAAGTTCAGCTTGTCTTTGACAGCCTGCCTCCATGCTTCCATCCCCTTCTCCTCTCTCGGTGTCTGTAGGCCCCGGCCTCTTGCGTCTCTTGTTCAGCAGAGGGTTGTTGGACGTGTCCAGGTCCTTGATCCTCACCTGGTCRTAGTCCACCCGCATGGTGGCCAGAGCGCTGGTCATTTCCTCCTGTTGGAACAGTTTGTTGTCACGTCATGAACCTGAGGAGGTGTTTTTCTGCCACCTTGTGGCCACATTCTGACTGAGGTGTACCTTGACATCATCCCACAGCTCCATGTCTTCTGTCAAAACACGAGAGGTGTGCAGTGGGGTCGGGGGGACCACCATCGACTGCTGTTGATTAAAATGTGAACCAACGGGATTAATCAGAGAACAACAACAGTGCAGGCTGACAGAGAAGGTGTTTGCTTACACTAATCCAAGGATAGTTCATGAACTGTCCAATGGTCATTCTCTCACTGGGGTCTGTCTTCAATAACTGAATGATAAGTTGTTTGGCTGAAGGGGACAAAACAAAAGTAAACAAACCAACATGTCTTAATTAACATAAAATACTCTTTTGTTTTTAAGTTGTTTATTACCAAAGTACACACACACACACACACACACACACACACA